TATTTATCTTTCTTTTTTATGTTATATATTCAATCGAATAAAAAATATTTTAATAATTAAATAAATTTAATATTAAAGAAACTTTTTTATTTTAAAGGTTTTGTCCTTCAGTTTTCTTATATCTAAGCAGTGTTGTTCCTGCAATATGGCTTTTAGAACTAGATAAGGTTGACAAAAGATTAAAAACATTCGAAACGAATGTGAATAAATCCGAGAACTTGGATTTAACAAATCTGGCTGCTAAAGATTTAAAGCATTTAGAAAAAGCATTAGGTGTAAGTTCAATTTATATTTCGTTTTACAATCAAAATATAAATTCGGACAACAATGTTATAAAAAAAAGGAATTAAAAATATTTTAATATGTTATTTAGGTGAACATACATTTACCTAACATAAAAATATCAAAAGAAACTTGGGTAACTCTAATTGAACAATTTCTAATGTTAATTTTAATCATTGGAAGATGGATGTTACCAAAAGGAGATTTAACCAGGGATCAATTGAGTCAATTATTATTAGTGTATATTGGAACAGCGGCAGACATAATTGAATTCTTTGATTCCTTCAAGGAAGATCGCATAGCTCGTGAACCTGTCCTAGTTTATTTAACTTTGGGGATTTGGGCGTGGTCCTTGATGCAATTCACGGTCGTTCTAACAGCTACTAAATCCCGGAAGTCTAGATTGTCATCCGGAAATGCTGTTAAAAGAAGAATACACACTGAAACTAGTTGTTGTAGCATAGATGTTTGGGGAATTACTTTAAATATGATTTTACAGGTCTGTTTATTTATACAAATTTTCTAAATCATTAAACAAAAAAAATTATATGGTAAAATTAGAATTTTCGAAATTTATTATGATAATTTTGTTTTTCATTTTATTTTAATTAAACTTTAATTTAAAAATTTAGATTTAAATAAATTATTAAATATGTTAAATATTATTTTATTTTTGTAAATTTAATGAAAATAAATCTTATGAAAATCTTATGAATAATATATTATGCAATTAAAAATTAATTATATCATATATTGATTATATCTATTTAAATAATTTTTAAAAGATTATTTTAAAATATTTTTTAAAAAATATTACAGGATGGACCATTTCTTGCATTTAGGTTGATTTTAATTATCCATTATCGCATAGTCAGCTATATGAATATTTTCTTCACGTGTAAGAATACTCTAGTGATTCTCTTGCAACTTTATCGACTGTATGTAGTTCAGACGGAAAATAGGAGCAAAAGAAAGAAGAAATCTGAAATATCGAATATCAGTATTATATCGAGGGAAAATATTTATAAAGATGTGAAATGCAAAATATCCGAAGAAAAGCGAAGAAAAAAAAGAAAAGATAAAGATATAGAAGCTAATTATACAGAAAGTGAAGAAACAATAGAAGAAACAGATAAATTTGATTCCTCTCCGAGGAATATTAGATCTTCAAAAAAGTACAAACTTTTTTTTTATAAAAATTTTTCTATAAAAATTCAATAATTAAAAAAAAGTATATTTATTATTTAAATCTTAAAATTTTATAGAAAAACACGCCAAGATACTGGATATTCTACTTCTAGTTCTAGAAATTCTGGAAAGCATGAGAAATCTCAAAGAAATAAAAAAAAAATGTCACGTGAAGAAATTGAAATTTTCAGTGATGATGAGAAACAAAAAAGAAAAATTAACAGAAATTTATCGATAAAAGGAAACAAAAAGTATACGGAAAGTTTTAAAATGAAATCTAGAAATGATGATTCTAGTAAAAGTTCCAGCAAGAATCGAAAATACAAAGAAGACAGTGAAGAAGAATTAACGACGGAAGAAATAACTGATAAAACAGTTAGTGAGGAAAGTGAATCAGAATCAGAAAGAAAAAGGTGAATAAATTAATAAATTATCAAATATACATAATAAATAAATTAAATAAACTTCTTATCTTACATCTTTTGATTATTTTAGAATTTAATAAAACATAAAAAATTAATTATTAAACAAAAGACAACATTATGTATATAACTTATTATAGTTAAGAGTCATTATAATAATGAATGATTTATTAATTAACAAATTGAACAAATTTGTCTACTAAATAGAAACTCCTATAAAAAATTTTTTTTTTCACTTACATATTTTTATATGTATCTCTTCCCATATTGAAGTCTCTTCTAAATTTAAATAAAGAAATTTCTTAGCTAAGTTAAATATCAAATATAAATAATTTTAATAAGATGATTATAGAAACTTATTGTTTTTTGTAGGTATATTCATAGAAAACGAAGACAAAACAGAGACTGACAACGATACCTCGGTATAATCACTCTCTTGTTTGTCTATTTTGCGATCCTCATTATTTGCATGCTTTTTATACATGCTGGGATCAACAATGGCGTTATATTAATAACAAGACTAAAGAAAATAATCTATACTAATTAATTTCTTTGCACTTTAATTATTTTATACAACAAAAATTAAAAAATTTGAATTCTTTTTATAAATATAATTAATTATTAATTGAATTTAATTAAAATAGATGCCAATATAAAATGCTAAATGTATTTTAAAGTCAAAATTGAAGTGCAAAGAATTAAGAACAATAAAAAATTATATTATTTGAAAACTCAGCACTAGAGTAGTTTAACTTAAAATTGTAATTTATGAGTTAGAAATTAAGATTATTTTAATATAATTCCATTTTATATGATTAACCATTAATTAAAGTTACTTTATATATAATGTAATATCTAAACATGTAAATGAGAATGATTGAGAAATATTTCTACTATCTTAAGTTTTGCTTGATTAATAAAAGAATGAAAGCATATTTTCCTCTCAAATTCATTCTCATCATATCCTAATTAAAATATTTTTTTAACAATTAAAAAAAAAATAAAATTAATTAATTTCTCGAAAGATAATTGCAAGATTCATTATCATAAAATTAAAAAAAATTAATCTTGTAACTAATTGTTCTATATGACATAATAATTCATGCAATTAAATCATTACAAGTTTCCAACCATTGTATACTCTGTGCAGCATCTAAGTTATCAATATAATTAGCCAAATCATCTTGATGAGTTCCAGTGGCGGCGCAATATAACATAGCCGTATCTTCTAATAATTCTTGTAAAGATTGTGTTTTCATTGTTGTTGTATCTACGCTAGTATTAACTGTCGAAATATTTTCTTTTTTTTCGGAATTCATTATAGATGGTTGACTTATCTGGACCATATCTAATTGCTTTGGAATTTCAATTTTTCTATCAGACGAAATTTCTCCGGTTGTTTGGTCCATTTTAAATAATGATTGTCCGTTTAAAACTCCCAAAGAATGTTTTTTCTCATTAGAATTACTTTTTAAATCTTTCAATTTCTCCACAGTTAAATGAAATCGCCGCCATTTTCCCTGAGGAAAGGTTATATTCACATTTTTATCCATAACACTTTCTTGGACATCTTGTTTCACATTTCCTTCTTTATTACTGAGTTCTTTAATCTTAATATTCTTCATGTTATTACAGAAAGTTTGATTTTCTATGGCTGGCTTTTTTAAATTACTTTTATTATATTCTGAAAGAATTTTCGCTATTTCTGAAGTCTCACCAGCACACCAAGTTTTACTTATACCACCAGACATAGTTTTAACGTTCACTTCTCTGCATGTTGTCTCGTAACATAATTTTTTTTCGATCGAAGATGATTCTTTTCCCACTTGAACTTTATTCTGTTGCATATTATTCAAAAGATATTTTGTTACTGTAAATTCTACTTTATTCCCTCGTTTTACAGGCGTTTGTTTTGCATTCAACTCTTCATTAGATACATTCTTATATATAGATGTTACTTCACCTAAAGTTTCTTCACTGGCAGGAAATTCTTCTGCTTTATTCACATTTATATTATTTGTAAATGGTTTTAAAAGTGGTGTTTCTTTTGAATCAGGAGGATTTACTAGAATAAAAGGACTTTTAGAAGATCGTATTACTTCCTGGATCTTCATATGTCCTCCTTGAAGCGTTTTTAGATTGGTAAAAGCAATGGATTTCGAGGAATTAGCTATATAAACCTTCTGAGTTGGAAACAAACGTGTTTTTGGAACCTGAGTGAAGCTCTTAACATTTTGTGGGAACATAGTAATTCCGCAATTATCAAGGAATTTGTTTTCTTCAATTGATTTTTGTAAATTTTCCTTAAAACTAACAGAGGATTCGCGTTTAGAATTCCGATCAACGATATTCGACTTAGACGATTCTTTATCGATTTCTTTAGAAATATTAGATAAATTTTTATTATCGTTTAACATGTTTATCTTTCCTTCTACATTCATTTTATAAGTTGGTGTCATTACTTGCGAACAATAACCTAGAACGCAGTGAAAACTTTCATGCATGCAACTTTCAAAAGATTTATTCTTTTCGGACGATTCCATAGAAGGTTTTTTTGTATTCTTAGAATTGGGACAACTTTTATTAGATTTTGTTTTTTTGTCTCTTTTTTTTTCCGTAGATGAAGAAAGATAATCACAATGAGGATCTACGGATACCACTTCTATTTCCGGTCGATCGATTATTTCTCGATAAGAGAGACCATCTAAACTCGTAAAATAACGTCCTAAATATTCTGCAGCTAGACCAATCTGAAATATTCAATATTCAATTAATATTTATGTAAAAATAAAAATTACAAATAAATTTTATATTTAATATATATTTTTTTATATAAATATATATAAATATAAATATAAATTAGATTTTTACCTGTGGATGAAATACTGGTCGTTCATGCATACCATGAACTGGCCATTCTTTCCATTCTGTTTCATCTTTTAAAGTGGGTGCTTGATAAGTTGCTCCTACGTTATACATTTTACGAGTAACAGATCTTGTGTTCATATAGGGCATCGTAGAAGATTTTCCACGTTTAGTAGGCTCAGAATTAAAGAGCATTTCCTTCCGTTTTGCAGAAAGTAATCGTTGTCTTGGCCGAGAAAAATTTTTATCTGGTTCTTTTTTTGTAACACGTATAGGATTTCTTCTGACTTCCGTGGTTCCACGACTGTAATTAATTTTTTAAAAAATAATAGAAAAATTACGATTAAAATATTTTATATCTTAAATATTAAAATCTTAAATATTCTGATATTAAAAATATTACAACTCGAAAATTTATTTAAAAAATTTGAATAATTTGAATCAAAATCTTAAAAAATGAATATATTCTTTTTTATTAATTAATATTTTAAAAAATTTTGAGTAATTAATTACCTATATACGATATATATAATAAAAATATTTTTAATGTACAAATTTTTATATATTATATATAAATTTTGTATATTATAAAAGATAAATTTAAACTATTCATTATAAGACCATAAAAAATCTATAAAACAAATGACATTATTATCGTATTCCATTTTCTATTTGCTAAATACTAAATAGAATTTGTAAATAAAAATAAAATCCTTAATTTGATTGCGTTAAAGACCTACTTTTTCCTCGTAGATCGATAAATCCTCTTAACTTTCGTTACTCCATTACTTGAAGTCGATCCGCCACTACTGATTTCCGTTGAATCCCGCACGTAATCACTATCATCCTTATATCTCTTTTCTTGTTTAATAACTATTGTTCCTGGAGGCAGCTTTTGCAAAATTTCTATGCCCTCATAGTAATTCTGTGCTACATTACCTAGCTCGGTCGATAACGATCCCAGATCGAGTTGCTTCCGAAGTGCCATTTTGGATCGTTCGTCACTCAACTCGAACACTCGTTCATCCTCTTGTTTCTCATCCAGTTCTTCATCTTGCTGCTGTCGTGAAGTTCGATCGTTTTCTTTTCCTATCACAGCTATCACGCTCACGTCATCGTCATCCTTGTCATTAAAATTTTTTTGTTTTGATCCCATTTTCTTTGAATCTTCTATTTCGTTTCTTAAAAAAAAAATTTATCCGAATATTTGTTAGAACACATAATTTCTTTATATGACTTGTTGAATAATATTTTCAATAATCTTGATAATATATAAATATTGAAATCAAAAAATATATACGTAAAACATATTTTTCAAAAAGAAAATCAATCATCGGGGGTTATGTCAAAATATATAAGATTTTCTTCTAGTAAATGTACTATTATATTGAGTAATAGTCTTGAAATTTCTTGGAAACACTTGTCAATTAAACGAATTTCTTCTTATTTAGAATGTGGTTAAAGAAAATCTAACCAATAAACTTGTTCAAGACACGTGTCACATGCTTTTGTTTCCAATAATGGGAACAATAGTGTCATCTGGTAATCAGATCTTGTGTTCAGTAATACTGTGAAATAGGATATTATTTTGGAATTAGATTAGCTGATCAAGAGTGCGCTGTGAACCTTGCTGTTAGTTATATATATCTATTGAAATATTGAGTTTTTATTTGATATTAATTAAATTTTATAGAAAATATATATAAACTTAATGCCAATATATATATTTTAATAATCATTCTATAAAATATATTTATTATACAATTATACATAATTATTTAGAAATTATAAAAAGAAACGAAAATATTAAATAAAAATTATTTAATTTTATTAACTTATAATTGTAGAATATTCTAAATATTAAAATATAAAAATTATTAAAATAAAATATATTTAGATTATTAAACTTTCAATATATACAATAATATTTACAATAATAATGTAAGAATTAAAAAACTGTGATTTATTTTGAAATTTAATTTAATTGAAATTTATATAATAATTCTAAAGTAGAATAACTAAAAAGAGGAAATTTAAATAAGAAATTAAAACACAAAATTATAGCTTCTTATAAGCGCTTATTTTATTCCAAATAAAATACTAAAACTAGAATAACTATTCTTTTACATGTACACGCGTGTACGTTTATTATATAATTATTTATATATAGAAATACGAAATATAATATCATTGTTCATATTGCACGTCCAGACTAGAACTGAAATGTATACATATGTATTTATGTATAACATCTTTTGGCACTCTATTCAACTGGGATTTATTTACAAAGAAAAGGGAAGAAAAGATTTTTTGCATTTTAGTTCATATTGTCTGTCGTTAGAGCAAGTGTAGTTAAGACTGATCGTCGATTTGGATTCACACCTAGATTTTCCCAATTTATCCATGATAAACGTGCTGTCAAATCTATAATAAAAAAATATTTAATTATAAATAGAGTTATAAATGATAAATAATATTATTTCATTTCAAATAAACTATAGCTTACTTTTTCAAATATTTTCATACTTGTATAATTTTTACTAAATATAAAATAAATAAAAAATTGCAAAATAAATTCTCACCGCTGGTATTCCATTCGGCACGTTCCCCATTTATTTCTCCTCTAAGGCACCTTTCAACATAAGTTAATGGATCAAGCCTAGCAGCTAACACTTCTCGAAGTAGTGCAATGTATGCTATAGCCAGACGCAAAGTATCAATTTTGGACAGTCTCTTTTCGTATGGAAACGTTGGTACATGTACTCGAAGCTCGTCGAAAGCCGAGTTGATGCTGCTAAAAATCGCAATCACACTGACAATCTGTTTCACTTCATTCACTTTATTTTCTGATTCTTCTTGTTTCGTATAATTTTCAAAACACTCGATATAATTTTTCGATTGAAAAAAAAAATTCAAATAAGTGAATTTAATATAACTTACATACTTTTATATAACTTTTATATAACTTTTTTAATAAATTTTATTATTACAAAAAAATATCGATAACTTTTAAATTTATAATTATTACTTATATGAGAAACTTATACTTATTTATCTTACTGTTATTATTTAATAAATTAAAATAATTATTTAATAAA